GCATAAAAGATGACAACAGCAGCCAGGCCGACTTTTGAACCTGCAAGAGGTGGAAGAGGAAAAGGAGAAGGTGATTTGAGCCAACTCTCAAAGCAGTATTCAAGCAGAGATCTTCCCTCTCATACAAAGATAAAATACAGGTAATAAAGACTTTCCAAAGACCACATCTGTTAAATGGCGTGATCATGATACATGATCAAGTTTGAGTTATGCATGTAACTTAGGTTATCTATTTTTAAAGGAATAGAATGCAACAGAGGGCTTAACAATAAAATTATGCCATATGATTTTTAAAGTGCTACTAACATTCCTTCAGCAGAAATTGCTATTAACTAGGAATTTCCATATGTGGAGGGAAGAGTACCTAATATTACCTCAGAGAAACTATGCACTTTCAGCACAAGTTAGTGGGATAAATGTTATACTGTAACAAGCTCTTGAGTCTATGTAATGGGAACAAAAATTAAGGACATTTTAATCAATCTGCAACCATATTAAGGAAAGTATGTGATTTGTTTGGGGCTTCTTAAAATATTGGAAATATCATAAGTACTAGTTAGTAACCTTCAGATTAGGTTATTATCTTGTCCTCTTCTTTGTTTTATGTTTGAGGGACAAAATTGTACTTGTGAATTGAATTGTCTTCTATTCACATATGATTTTTGTTTTCTTGGGCTTGGACAGGTCGTAACATTTTGTCCTGATTTGTTTCCACTTTAGACAAACTACTCAGGATGCCCCTGAAGAGGTTCGTAACCGGGACTTCAGGAGGGAGTTGGAAGAAAGAGAGAGAGCTGCTGCACGAGAAAAAAATAGAGATCGTCCAACCCGAGGTATCAACCCTGTCCCAAACATTTGTCTCCTAAAATTATATTGTCCATGGTTTTTCTTTCATGTAGTAATTAGAAAGGGTTCGTATTTTTGTGAGCTTTACTTCCTTAAATAATGAGAGATAATGAGGTTTATTCCAATTTCATCTTTTTATCCTTCTATAATAGAAGGAACAGGGTGATCTGGAGATATTCAGCAGCCATCATTTTATTTCAAACCAAAAGTTTTAACTCATTAGAGCAGCCAGGCCCCAGGATTTCTGTCTGAGAGATTTTATGTTTTCAGACAGGTAGTGATGCGTGCCTGTATTCCTAGCAACTCTGGAGGCTGAGGCAGGTAAATTTCAAGTTTCAGGCCAACCTCAGCAAAATAACAAAAAGGGCTGGGAATATAGCTCAGTTGTAAAGGGCCCTGAGTTAGATTCCCAGTACCACCACTCTCATCCCCCCCAAAAAAGAGATTTAATGTTTTCAGTTTATATAAACTTCACCCTGAATTTCCTGAGGTTGCAGTTCTAATATTAAAATCAATCCTTTTATTAATATATTTAATTATTTACCATCAATATTTACCAAAGACTTATTTGCCAGTCACAATAGGTGATCCCTGATGGCATGATGCTTTGAATATGGATTCTTTATACCTATAGGTCCTTAAAACATTATAAGAAATGCAGCACTTGTTTCACTAAGTTAAATAATGTGTGTTTTCCACCAGAACATACAACCTCCTCTTCAGTGTCAAAGAAGCCTCGGCTAGATCAGATTCCTGCTGCCAACCTTGATGCAGATGATCCTCTAACAGATGTAAGTTTTGTTTTCTTTCATTTGAGTATTTTTCTTTGCCGAGGGTTCAAGAACAAGTTTGATATCTAGAGAACTCACTATGAAAGCAGTCTATTAAAGAATATGCCTTCCTCCAGAAGAATTCTTTATATTAAACCCTAGAGTTGAGCTTCTGTTTTTATATACACAGGGCACACATTGGGCTCTCTGGAAACATTCCCTGTAGTTATACCCTAGGGCCTTTCCTCATTAGCTATGATCAGATGTATTATGCACATGCTGGTTCCCTCTGTGTTTAGGGAGGAAAGTAATCTAAGCAGAATTTTTTAAAAGTTAGCATATCAATTAAAATTCAGTGGGACTCCATAGTCAGTAGTTTGTGCTCTTCTACAAAACATAAAAAAAATGAGTGGCCTTTCATAGATAAGATGTAATCATACACATATGTCAGCAATTAATTCTAGAGCTGACTGATGAAGTTATAGTCATTAAAACAAGAAGCTCAGTTATAAGTGTGATTTAATTATTATTCATCTGAAATTATTTTATTGTGGAATTTAATGCTGTTTTTTGCATGTCTGATCATCCTTACTTAATAGCTTAAAATTGCTATAAGTTACATACTATCATTTTGTCTCTCCTAGAGTGAACCCTGTACATACCTACTGTATTTCATCATGAGGTGTTCCTTTTTCTAATTTTAGCCATGTAAATTTGAAAGGTACTTTATTAGGAGTTGACATTTTAGGAAGTATTCTAAGCTTTTTGTGAGACTTTTATTTATTTGGTTGGTTTTTATTTTAATCATAATATTCAAGTGCAGTTATTTTCCCACTAGGAAAATTAATTCTGTCCCAAAAATATGGTAAATATAGTTTTTAAGGGACAAAAATTAACATTGTGCATTTTCCCTCCAACATCATGGATAATTACTGCTTTTTACTGTTTTTAGGAGGAAGATGAAGATTTTGAAGAGGAGAGTGATGATGATGATACTGCAGCTCTCCTTGCAGAACTAGAAAAAATTAAAAAAGAAAGAGCAGAAGAGCAGGCCAGGAAGGTAAAAATCTAAGGGTTAAGTATTTATATATTCCATCTTCACATGCTAAAATAGGAATATTTTTTATTCAAATAATATCTTCTTATATTAGAAATTTTCCTTACCATGTGTAAATATTATGGCACCTGAAGTCCTATAAATCTAGTTATTTTTATGACATTTTAAAGATCCTGATTATGTTGGAAATTCTAAACAGTTCAGGCATGCTGAATAATACTCCTCAACTTGCTCATATTTACTTGTTTGTTCTTTGTTCAATAGACATTTAGTTAGTGTTAAGTATCCGAAGAACCAACATGATTAAGATTAGTCTACAAATTTGTCTCTCTTGTCTCCTGCCTAGACACTTGTGAGGCAACCTGTCAATAGATTTTATACACAATCTATGCCAAGTTATCATACTCTTGTATACCCAGTCTTTCCAGTTATACAGTGGGAGAAAAGAATGCTTACCTCAAAAATTAAGAGATGAAACTGAGGAGGCAAGCAGGAGTCCAAGCATTGGCAGTTTGTAAACCAGTGTTAAAGGAATTCAATTTTGTTCTAAAGGATGAGAAGCCAGTAGAGTTTAGCAGTAGATTGGTAAGAGTGCATATGCATTTTGGAAAGATTACTCTGGCAAAAGTATAGAAGATGGATTGGAAATAATTGAGTGAGGAGGTTATTTCAATACTCCTTATGGGTAATGAAGAGAATCTTAACTTACATGATAGAAGTTGG